AAAAGCCTGCATATATCGGTATCGGAAATTGAGAGTTGGACAATATCGGAATATCGGATATCGGCAGAAAAGCCAATATCGAGCATCCCTAAACATGAACCTTCTATTGGACACGTAATACAGAAAATCAGTCCAAACGCTTCTCTCTGAATATCTTTCTGTAACCGTCTCAGCCATTGGCAGCCTTTATTATTTCAGGACTGTCAGAATAGGTTTGTTGGCAGACAAAGGAGACATAATCTCTCTCTCTCTCTCTGTCCTTCTCACTGGAGCCACACATCAGTTTTAAAGACAGACCGGTGACACAGGGGTGTAACTTATCACATTGCTAAGTGCTGGACTGCATTATACCCAGACATTATGAATATAATTCCTTTCACTTGTGATATTCTTGCTATGACAAACCAAAATGTCTGCTGTGAATGAGGTCTCCTAATGGGACTCCCTAAAAAGCATGTTGTGTGCCTGGTGTGCCTTCTCGTTGCCTCACTTTTTGGATAAGATAACAAAACCATAACCAATAAAGTTCTTCATTAACCTAATCCTTGCCTTAACCCCAAAATAAAACCCACAAGAGACGTCATGCCTAACAGCATACACTTTAGATTTTTACTCCTTGTACTCCTGGCACGGCTCCAACTGTGGTCTACAACTAACGTTAGACTACCCATCTTTTGCATTAATAGATGCCCATTGGGGTTTACAAAGCAGACTATTAATTTCCATGTACATAGGTGTGACACCAAATATACAAATGATAGGAAAACATGAATAGCATATTCTGTATGTCTTTATACATGACATGCATACAAATAAACTGATCTCCTGTTGTGAGTATTATTCAGTGCACTCAGGGCACAGGTTGGTAGGGAGTTCCGTCTATTAACTTGGTTCTTGTAGAATTTAGCGTACAAACACAACATGGCTTGAAATGATCTTCTTTGATCTGTCATGTGTGCCTCCATTTTCTATTCTTACAACTTCCAGTCTTTGTTAAAGGTAAAGTATGTAATTGAGATCAATATAAATAATAGCAGAAAACAATTGCTGGATAAATTCATTCATTCAGTTGATCTACAGATAATTAACCACTAATTATTTTGATAATTAATCATTTTTAAAGCCAAACATTTGCTGTTTCCAACCTCTCAAATGTCAGAATTTCCTGTTTTCCTGTTTTATATGATTGTCAGTGGAATATCTGTATCGCTTTTTTGGACTGTTGGTTCAACAAAGCAGCAAAAATGTGATGTGAATTTTTCATTTACATTCAAAACACTAACAAAAACACAAAAGTTAAAATAATGGATTGACAATAAAATAAGTTACTTGCATCCCTAATTTGCATATATATTTGTAGGCAGTTTTGGTTTGCTGCTGTAGGAACAGTTTCCAATGTATGATGAATTCTGTGTGATCACTTACAAGCACAACCAGAGTTTTCACCAATTTAAGACTGCACCCAAGATTTGTTTCCTATTTGAGTCTACTGTTTCTTTCAGCTCTGAGGTGTGGTACACATTGTGTGTTTGCTTTTGATATGTTCAGTTGCCAGGGAGTAGGGTGTGTATTTTCAGGGATTACTGTGATAAAAGCGTGGGAGCCACTGCTTCAGACAAAGTCATGCTCACATGTGACCTCCACAGTCAGGCTTTAGCTGCCACTCAATCACAATCCCCTTTATTCTGACAGAAAAAGTGTTTACAGTAGATACATTGATATGCCTGCCAGGCAATTACTGTTGCAAACATAATTACACAGACACGCACACATGCACACACACTAAATTCCACAGGGTTGTGATTAGTGGCATCCATGTAGTAGATCTCCCGGTCAGCCTGATAAGCGTGAAATCTAACACACACATCACATGTGAAGGAAAAAACACTCTGTACTGGCAGTAGTTACCTCGTTGCTGACAAGTAATTAAGGGCTACATCCACACTACTACACTTTTGCTATATTTGCACCACTACACTACTCCAGTGTTTTAGGGCTCGAAAATGGAGACGCTTGGAAATGCTACTGGCCCTGGTTACAGTTGGTTGCATTTTAGTTTGGACTGGCAGAAACGGAGTAATGGACAGACAACTCGAAAAGCATAGGGGACATTATGCTTTTCGAGTTGTCTATCCATCCCTTCCCATTCTTTTAAACTAGCTGTTGCTAGCGTGGAGGCCTAAAAAAAAAAACCTGCCCTTAGGATGTGACTTATTTTCCTCATTGCTCATCTTTTCATCTCAATTACATAAATCATTAGACTTTCTCTGGGTGAAAAATGATTACTGACTTCATCGAAGTGAAAAGTCAACACTGGACTTGCTTTCCTCAACATTCTCAGAGGGAAAAGAGGTCATGGTAAATGGTAAATTCTGGAGCATTTTGGGGTCAGTATCTTGCTCAAGGAACTTCACTTTCAGGGGCCGGGGGATCGAAGCCAACACACCTGCCGATTAGTGGCA